ACACGCACACGCACACGCGCAACCGCACACGCACGACACGCGACTGATGCCAGCGAGCGGTATGGTGGGCCACGACAGGAACGGTGAAGATGACGAAAGTGGGGTCGGACCTGCTGAGCGGCTGCGTGCCGCAGTTCACCGCCGAGCACGAGGTGTGGATGGGCGCCTTCTTTGCCGACAAATCAGTCGGTGACGGTGCGGGCCAGTCTTTACATGTGCGAAACTTCCTGAGATGTTGCTGACTGGTCTGTGGTGGTCGGTGGGAGCAGAGCCGTGGCTGCTGACGGGCGCGCAGCTGGCGCCCGGTTTTGATCCGGCCGACTCGACTCTGGCCAACCGCACGGACTTCATCGACCGCTTCCCCGCGTGGTACCATGACCTCATCATCAAGCTCACTCCCGGCCAATAAGCAACGCACCAGGCGCGAGTAGTCTGGCGGATGAAGCCTGGCTACCTGTATTGGCTCAACGTTCCTCTATCCAAGGATCAAATCATTAGTGTGTTGCAGAATCCCCAGAGCGCTAATAGTGTGGATGGTTATATAACACGGGGGGCGTAGTTCAATTGGTAGAGCGTCTGACTCCAGATCAGAAGGTTGCGTGTTCAAGTCACGTCGTCCTCATACATAACTTTTTCTTTTGCTTGTCAACAAAGTGCCTGCCGGTGTTTTCTTTTAATGCCACAACTTCCCCCAACACGCCACTTAGAGGTACATGAGCTATGCGCCACTTGCACACAAACACGTCTGCTCGGTGCTTGGGCCAACGACGCGTTTTTCCCAACAGTAATCAACAAAATCTCTGTGAAACACGAACTAAGCAGGATTGGGGCGCCATGGCGCAGTCGGCACCGCGCTCCCCTAGTAAGGGAGAGATCATGGGTTCGATTCCCATTGGCGCCATCCTACTTCTTTTTGCTGCTTGAAGACGTTTAAGGTGGGAGTCTAGTGCCACATGACTGAAGGCTCAACGTGGTCTTTATTCGTACCGGAATGAAGGCAGGTACAGAATGAAGTAGGCCACACCAAGACACTTGGCCCAGATGTGGGCGGTCGAATTCTTGGGTGCCATCCAGCAGAGCCAGGCAAAGTAGCCGTGCACGGTGAAGGTGTGTAGACACAGGCGCACCACGAACTCCCGAAGCCACTTCTCGCGCCTGGTGCGTTGATCACACATGTATGCATCGCACACGCACACACCACCGCACACGCACGCATGCAGCTCAGCTGACTGTGCTGTGACTTCCGCAGGGTGTGGCGAGAAATGTACCTTCTGCTGGAGGGCCTCGTGATGCCGAGCCACTCGGCAGCTCCCTCCACGGCGTCCTGCACTCGGTGCCCTGCGTCGAAGTGCTCTGGGAACTGCAAATATCGCGGGTGTGACATGAGTGGACCAAACAACAACACAGCACACAGCACACAGCACACAGCACACAAGTACCAGGAAGGGGACGAAGGTGGCCGGGTGTTCGGTCTTGTAACGGAGAAGGGTCGTGCTGAGCTGGTCGCCCGACCACACGCCCTGCCCGGCCGCCATGATGCCCGTCGTAACCCAGGCCGTCAGCGTTCCTACGCAGAAGAAAGACAGCTCAGCTCGGGCCACAGCTCAACTCGCGAGTAGTGGGTCGTACCTGGGCCAAGTCCCGACTCAGGTGGTGGCTGGGCCGCACCCTGCGGTGGCGGGCGCCGCGACAACGTAGAAGAAGTAGAAGTAGAAGTAGAAAGACGGGATGAGGTTGATGAAGGCGCGGTGAGCTGGCTGACGAGGGCGGGGAGGACGCGGAGGCCGGCCACGGCCCAGCCGACGCGAAGCAGCTGGCGCACTACGCGGCCAAAGGCCCTCTCCGTATTGTCGAGCACGGGCAGGTCAGGCCGCAGCTCGTACGAGTACTCTCTACACAACTTGGTGATGCTGCCTCATCCAGCAAATGCAAGGGCACAAAAGAAAGATGAAGAGAAGATGAATGGGATGGGATGAGCTTCCTGGAAGATGAGAGAGGGTTGGGTGGGCGTACGCATCGCGAAGGGGGGCGGGAAGGGAGCGAAGGGCGAGGCGCAGGGAGTGGCCCGCAAGGAAGGGCAGGGGCAGGTAGGTCATGAACAGGTAGTCCAGCGCGGTGTCGCCTGCCTTCACCACCCACTCTGCCAGCTTCATCTTCTGCTCATAGCTTAGGCTAAGCTCGCCTGCTGCGCTCATGCTGCCACAATCTGTAGTTGAAGACTAACAAACAAAAGAACTCTCTGTGCCCTCTTGTGCTGCCCTGATCGCCATTGAAGCAACGTCAAAAGCAGTTTATTGTTCAACGTTTGGTTTTGTAAGGCGTGCAGGCCAGGCCATGGAAGACGACGCAAGCGACGACGGGAAAGGTGACGATGAAGGCGTCCCAACGCGCGGTGGCGCCGCAGTCCCGGCCGCCGCCGCCGAGTATGAGACGTACGCCGATGCCCCTGATGTAGGCGCCGATGACGATGGTGATGCCGACGCAGTCGATGCCAACGACGACCGCTGAGGCTGTTGGTGGGCTGCAGCCGTCCCTGGTACCGACCGGTAGCTTCGGACCTCGCCGCCGCCGTACGGCCGATCGTTTCGTGCCAGCGGTCCGTCCCGGCCTCGGCCTCGGCCCCTGGAGCTGCCGCCGCCGCCGCCGTTCGGCCCTGCTACGGTCGGTGTGGCGATGGTGGACGGGAGCGTAGACGTTGTGGTCGACGATGACGACATCGGCGCGTCTCCGCGCCAGCTCTCGCCGCCCCTCGAATAGCGGTTCTGGTGGCCGTCCCGCCTGCCGCCGCCTCGCCTTCGTGAGTCCGACGAAGATGACGACGATGACTGCTCGGTCGCAGCCCCAGAGCGCCTGTCGCCGGGCACGGGCCGGCTCGTGGTCGCCGTCGCCGTCGTCGGGCCGTTCGAGCCGCCAGCCGTCGCGACCGACGGGACGCGGTCATCGCGTCGCCGTCGTCGGTCGCCGATGGTGAAGGGATCGATTCCCTGCTGACGCGGTTGACGCGGTGGCTCGCGCGGCTGCTGCGGCGGTCGAGGCTGAACAGGTTTGTCTACTGTGTGGCCATCGGGCGACTGCGACTGCGCTCGGCTGTGCCCGCTGCGCCGCGTGTCATCGCGGCCGCGCGCTCGCGGCGCCTGCGCATCTCTCTTCGCGCAGCCGCCGCCGCCGCCGTTTCCTCCCGCGGCGTTGCTGCCTCGTCGTTGTTGGGAGATACCGCTGCCGCCGCCGCTGCTCCGTCGTCCACCACGGCCGGGGTCATCGCCTCGGCCGCGTCTGTCCATCGACAAGCTCGCATTCGTCCTCTCCCTGACACAATTGGCCGCATAAGTCAGTCTAGGGCGTGTGTGTGGTGTGTGTGTGGTGTGTGTGTGGCGGCACGTGTGCGTGTGCGGCACGTACTTTTCGGTGAGGTAACGGCTATATTTTCTCGGGTCGTGATAGCCCTTCCGCGCAGAATTGGCAACTGATTGACGCAGCCTGGTATTAATAATACGCGCCGCAGCACGCGTGGTCAATAGTCATGTGGACGCCATTATCTGGAAACGTCACTGATGCCATCACAGTCAGTCATGGCTGACGCACCATTCGGTGAGCTCGTCGCGCGTGGGCGCCTTAACCCCGATGCGCGCAAAGTATTCGTCCCACGACGCCACCTGCTGGATCTGCTTGCACGCCTCCTGCAGCGATTCTGGTAGGGGGTTTATATTACACAATCATTTGATGACGTTGACGAAGACGACGCATTGAACGATTGGAGGAATGATGATGGCGAGGATGACGAAGACGACGAAATGAAGGCGGTTCGTGGCGAACGCAAAGTACCTTTCATCTTGGCCGAGGGCATGCCGTACATGGCGTCGTAGCCCTGGGCGATGTCCTCGAGCGACATTCCCTCCGGCCGCCCCACGTTCTCCAGGAAATAGACGTGAAACAACAGCAGACGCACTAATGATTGAAATCGGCCGCGGAATCAATGTGGTTAGTTCCATCGTCAGCCCATAATTTGTTGCTGTATGCAGCGCAGAAGAAAATGGTAAATGATGGCGATGGTGAGGGTCGATCTCGACGTACGGCTGACGATGCTGCTCTCGAAGGTGAGGGCGCATCGCTTCTCGTCGACGATCGGGTCGGGCTGCGTCGTGGCCAGCATGGGGAACTTCTGCAGCATCCACCGCACGTTGCCTGCGCCAGGCCGAACAACCGACCGACCACACAGTTCGCCCCTCAATCACAGTGTGGCCAGCTTGACCAGCAAAATGGGGGCGGGCGGGGAGGTACGGTCAAAGCTCTCGTAGAGATAGGCCAGGGCGATGTCCTTCCACGACTTCTCGGTGATGGTGAGCAGCGGCAGGAACTCGCCCAGGGCCTTGACCACCTCCTTGGTGCGGTAGGACTCGTTCTCGACGAACATGTCGACCATGCTGTTGGCCGCCTTCACCAACGACGGGTACTGGCGGGCGAAGTGCAGTATGAGCCGCTGGAACGCGCAGTACCCGCTCAGCGCCTTGAGCGAGGCTGTGGTGGGTGGTGGACCAGCAAAGGGCAATTTACGGCGTGAGCGATATGAAACACTCAATGATTGTGGAATGAATGGTACCGTGGGTGCGCTCGGCCATCACGTTGACGACCATCGTGTTGCACAGCTTGGCCAGCGTCTCGAACGCCATCTCGGGGCGGAACCGGCCCTCGTTGCCTGCTGAGAAGACACACGTTAGTGGCCAGGCTAGCGAGCTATGGAAGCCGGCAATTGGGCTCTGCGAAGGGGTGGTGACCACTACTAACCTGTACAAATCACGCTCAAGCTCTTCCTGAGCAGTGTTTCAGCTCTTTCCCCGTGTTCTTCATTTACATCTGTGTAAAATAAGCAAACAAATGTGGCATCAGTATATGAGTATGTTGCCAACATGTTCACCATACATGTTTGTTGAATAAGAAACATCAAAGAATCAAAAAGGAAGCTTGGTTGGTACATAGAGGGAGCCAGTGCGTGAAGGCATCGCCCATCACAGTTTGCCGCACGCTATCCACTGAGTAGGCCGTGTAGGACAGTAGGTCGAGGTTGGTGTTAATCTCCGACGGTTCGTTCTTCCTGCAGTACACACATAGCCCCGAGCCGTTCACACAGAGATAAGCAAAACCAATCTAGAGAGTGCAGTGCTGCAATGACGACGATGGTGATGGTGGTAACGATGGTGACGACGATGGTGAGGTTCTCGCACCGGTTGTTCCAGATCAAGGAGATGTCGATGCCCAGCACGTCCTCGGTAAAATGGCGCCGCGAGTGAAAGCAGACGAGTTCCTCCCTGATGATGTCCGCCTCTTTCTTCGGCAGCTGATTGATCTCCAGCTTCTGCGTCGGCTCGCAGGTCGAACGTGTGAACAACCTTTGGAGGGGGGAGGTGGTGGGGGCGGGGGCGGGGGTACCGTGACGACTGGAGGCCAAGGGCAGCCGGGGACGTGCGGGCACGTGTGGCAGGAGAAGGCCCGCGCCTTCTGAATGGCTCGCGGTATCCTAATCGTTGTGCGTGGCATGTCAATATCGTGTGTCGTGCCGTGCGTGTGCGGTGGTGCGTGTGCGTGTGCGATGCGGGTGAGCGATGTGTGTACCGCCGCAGGCAGACTTCGAGACC